TTACTTTAGGATGAATGTCATCAGTTTGAGGAAAAAGTGTTACCCCACTTCTTGGAGAATATGGTGAACGACCTATAAATTATTAAACCATAAGTCTTTGCCCCCTACAACTATGTAGAGTATCTGTGAATCAGAGGGCAATGATCAAAGACATCACAAGGCAAGTCATGTGGTCAGGACAAACCTCATATATCCCACCATCTTTCATACACATGAATGTGATCCAAATAAATAATGGAATTACCATTAAGTTGAAACTAAGTGAAACATGTTCCCCACATGGGGAGGTCTACTAACTCCACAACATAATAAAATTACCAAACTCATTAATTTCCAAAGTACCACCCCTTTGGCTAACCCTCAAACCTCCCTTCTTCGTGGTCCTAGCTAACACAAAGTTAAAGTCATCCAACACACATTATACCTCTCTTTCAAAAGACCCCTTAGATCTAACCAGATTACTCTATAAAAACCATTTATCAGATAAAAAGAAATTTGATAAATATTAACCACATAACATTGTAACTTAAGAACACCTCACTTGAGATACACCCTAACAAAGCCCGACATGAAGGAGGAAAACAAGGAAGTCTATTTAGACTTGCACAAGATAGAGATAAGAACTCTATTATTACCCACATCTGGAATAAAACTCCATTCACAACATGAATTACCTTAGAGTTAATGCACATTTCTTCATCCATGACACCTAGCTTCCTTTCATGGATATCAAGAAAATTTAGATGAATGGGCATAACAGAACACCACACCATTTTATTCTAAACCTCCTCGATAACCCTTTTATGTTCAAGGTTCTCATAATGAATGATTCACCACTATAAACTCATTATGTTTCTCAATTACTGTTTGGACTTATTACATGTTTTGTAGTGTTAAGAAGGTGTCGCGCCTCTTAGTTTCTAGGATGTAATCATGTCAAAAATATTTATAGGGGTTTGATATTCACCATGGGGGGAATTATTTATTATGTCTTATAGACACAAAAGAAAGGAAAGGGCGATAGCTCCTGCACAACGGCTCATGAGTATTATTCTATTTTAGACCATAGTATTACATATACGACTTAAACACTTTAAATTCTATTTCGTTAAAGTAGTAATACAAAGTTACAACTACATTATAGGTGTAGATGTATACACACTTGATCAAACTACATAAATAAAAATCATGTTATTGTCTTGCGATTGATCATATCTTTTCTTTGTTATTTTAATAAGGTATCTACAAGTGAGTCAAGAAGAAGAACAAGATATTACCCATAGGGATAAAAAAATTTGAAAGGCAAGTAACAATATACTAAAGAAGGGTGAAAAATCACCAAAGTATAACACAGATAAACACAAAGCACGTGAAGTGTCAAAAGACAACTAAAGATAAAAAAGAACAACATAAAAAAAAAACATTTTTCCCAACACTATTATTCAAGAGTCCCCACAGATAAAGTTTCACGCTACTAAAAATTCACCTCGCTGAAAACATGTTAGATATGAAATCACAAGACTCATCATTAACATATCAGATCCCATTAAAAGAGCATAAAAATACCAAATGTCAAAACCTACCTCAGAAGAAAAAATCTAGATTTACTATAGGTGCAAGTAAAGAATAAGGTTATGAATCCATTTAGTGAAGGTGCAAGAGTTCACCCTTGATCAACCCAGAAACCATTTCTAGACCATAAAAAATATTATTCTCCTCCACCTATTTCGCTGATTTTGTGACCTCTTTAAAGATGGCATTATTGTAGGATTTCTAATTGGACCAGATTATAGAGTGTCAAATCAAAATATAACCACCCCTATACTTAATCATGCCCTCTTAAAGAAATAAAATACTAAAAAAGAATCCTAGAGTCATTAGAGATAACTACCTGTCACCTTAACCACTTAAAGATTTTATACCAACCAGACATGGCTAGCTTATGAGTTACAAAAAGGTGATAAACCATCTAATCCAGATACCCACACAAGGGACAAGAGATCCTACTGGGATAAAAATTCACCCTTATCTTAGAAATGTTTTCTTTAAATGGGAGTCTATCTTGTAAAATTTGTCAAGAGAATACCAAGATAATAGAAGGAACTCAACTTATCCAAATAAGGGGGAGAACCCGGATCTTTGTCTTAAAAGGACCCGAAGAAGAGATTGAACTAATTCTCTAGTCAAGGAAAGCATAATCCACTGAGAAAGTTCCCTTTTCTAACATGTTTCCAAATCCACTTATTTGTATCTAGGGAAAAAGTGACATCTTGAACCAGAGATAAAGCTCCTAAAAAATGGGTAGCTCTATAAGAAAGAAGGGTTTCCTCCATCTAAGATTACAATTAAAGGCCCCATTAGCCACCAAATAAATCTCTCCCTCCAACCCACCAGACTTAACAGAGTTAGAGAACAAACCAATGAACTTAATCTTTAAGGGGATGGTCACAAACCAAGGGTCCTTCTAAAAGGACCACTACTCGACCCAACTTTCTTAATGACACCATTGACCAACCAATATGATCTATCATCCTCTTTAGACCCAAGAAGAGACACCCATTTTCCACTAGGAATAAGTAGAGCAAAAACTCTGAGTCGCCCCCCCATAAAGAGAGGAAACAACTACAACTCCACATATAGCTACAAGAATATCCTTCAAAAGACTTGGATCCCTTGTATGTAGTCACATTTCCACTTTTACAATAGAGAAAGATTAACCAGCATGGGATCCCTCACTCATAACCTTATGCCCCTTCTGTTGTTTGGGTTACATACATCATCTCGCTTAATCCATGATATCCTTGAAGCTCTTTTCGTTCACCGCCAAAGGAACCTTCTTTGTAACTTGACAAAAAAATTCTAAATCGTTACAGGCGTCTTCAGAAAATACAAGAAGAAGAGGAGGATAACATTAATTAGTGAATTAAGAAGAACCAATATATCAGTCAAACTGACATATCTATACTTCAAAGAATTAAGCCTTTTTTTCAGCAAGTTAACTAAAGGATCCCAAGTAGTTTTAAGGCAGTGATTTTTCCCCACTAAAAAAATCAAGATACTTAAAAGGAAGATAATTAATCTCATAGTGGAGAAAATCTTCTGCAGAGGATAGAAATACAAAATCCATATTAATCCCTATAAGACATCTCTTGAAGAAATTCGCTCGAAACCTCTAAGAATAACCTTAATGCTCCATAAATTCTCTAGAGTAGGGTGAGACACCAGGAGAGTATCATTAACATACTAAATATGAGACACCATCAACCCATATGTGTCTACCCTGAACGCAAAGTAAAGATGAATCTCCTTAGCCTTAGTAACCACTAAGCCCCTCAACCACTAGAAGGAAATGGAAGGAAGCTAGGGGATCTCATTGTCTCGAATTCCTAATTTAGATGTTAATTTCTTGAGTAGGACACTCATTCACCATCACTAGAAGATTACCGGTAAAAACATAAGCTCTTATCCAAAACCTCTATTTTTCACTAAAATTGAATCTAATAAGCATATAATCTAGGAAGTTCCAACTAATTGAATCATACACTTTCTCAAAATCCACCTTAAATATTAAGGCAAACTCTTTTAGATCTCTTGGTCAATTCGACCACCTCATTGACATTCATCATCCATGAACCAACATTCTCCCCTTAAGAAAAGTCGATTGATTAACGGATATGAGTTTGTCCATCATTGACCCAAGTCTAATGGTCAATACTTTAGCCACCAATTTGTACGAGGATCCCACCAAAAAAATAAACCTAAAATCTCCCAATTGAGAGGGGGAATTAACCTTGGGGATCAGAGTCACAAATTATGATACAAAATTATGAAATAAAGATGCAAAATGATAGATTTGATCAAACATAATCCTCAAGTGAACTTTAAACAAGTTTTAAAATTTTTTTAGGAAGAAGAAATTAAAACTATATAAGCCTTATAAGTTTTTGTTACCATCACACTAGGACACAAGATAGTCTATCTCCTCGAGACTAAAGGGAGTCAAGGTTATTTTCATCTGAAAAAGAACAGAAAACTACATCATCTAAACAAAGTTTATCAACATTTGGTTCTTTATAAATTTTGGTAAAATAATTCACTACCTCTCCACCCCTTCAATTCAAATCTCTCCAACCTTTAAAATTAAGATAGCTTTTCTTCTGCTTCTACTATTAACGTACAGATATATGAAAGTAATCAGAATTAGTGTCATCCTTCTTAAACTCTTTAGACATAGATCTTTAAAACAATTGAGAATCTTTTAATCTTAAGCAAAGACTACACGCAATCGCTATGCATCTAGAATCATCTCTTCGACATATAAAAGCCTAAGATCAGCCAAAAATATTCATCCCATTCACCTCCTTTTTGAAGCTATATCTATATAGGAGTCTAACAGGAGTTTTACTATGTCTAGAATAATTTCACTCATTTGAAATTTCTATAATACATGTCCGCAGAAACATAATATATATCCATCTTTGTTTTTTTATATATTACAGCTAAATTATTAAAAAGATCACATCACAATACAAAATTATTAATGCAAAACATAATTACAAGTTGTGATTGTTTGTTTTAAACGTGTGCATGTGGTGACTGATGAGTCAAAATGCTTTTTGTGTACGACTGCAGGCCTGTGGTTGTTGTACAAAAGAGACACAAACGTTGAAAGTTGAAAAGGCAAACCCATTATCATCATTCAAGAAAAAATCACCACTTTGTACAGTCAAATACCAAATTGAGTACATATTTTTTCATGTATCTTCAATATCAAATAACTTTATTTTTCCTCTTCCATGTCAAAACACTCAAATAAACACTTCAAGCCTTGTTATACATATATATATATATAACATACATTACACTCAAATCTTTCCAATCAGCAATCAAAAAAATGTAGAAAATCAATAGGAGAAAGGAGCAAGCAAACTCTTCCTAGTTAGGGTTGAGATATAATTAACCAGAAGATAATTAGTCTTCTTAATTAATAAATTATCATCTCATAATAATGAAGAAGGAAAAGGAGAAAGAGAATTTGTTGTACTTGTTCCCATAATATTTGATGAGTTTGGTTCTTCAACACTCTCCCAGAAAAGAAAGCTAGAACATTGTTGTTGCTGTTGATTTTCCACCCATTCATTCAACTCATGTCTCTGCAACTGCAATGACTCCAATGTTAATATCTCTCCTTCTTCATCCATGTTACAAGACTGCACTTGATCAATTGGCACCACCATGTTGTCCACATTATTATCTATCAATGGTGGCAGGTTATAATTACTACTAGTATCATGGATGGTTGTATACGCGGTTGTTGCTGGATGAGGAGGAGGAAGTGCCTGAACTTGATGATGGTTATGATGATGATGATTCAAGTTCCATGTTTCTGAGCTCAAATTCATGTTATCATGGAAGAACACTTCTGGTCTTATTACATTTGTATCTGTTGCTGTTGTTGTTGTGTCAAACATAAATATAGGACATGTCGAAGAAAATAAGGTTTCTTTTGTTGTTATATTTTCTTGGTTGGTAAAGTAGTTCTCTAGTTGATTGGAACTATAATTGAACTGAGGATGATGATCAATGGTTTGTGGTGTATTAAATGATAAATTAGGAGCAGAAGAAGAAGATGAAGATTTTCTAATTTTCTTCTTGATCCATGAATTCCAATAGTTTTTTATTTCATTGTCTGTTCTACCAGGTAAGTGGCTTGCAATGTGAGCCCATCTGCATTAATGTAAGTAATAATCACTTAATTATGAATTAAGTTTTCTGTTTAAAATTAAGATAAAACATTTATCTTTGTAATTAAGATGCTTAAATAAAAATGAAATCGTAATTTGCAAGCATACTAGAGAAAAACAATTTGGTAGGCTGAGATATGCAAACACTAAAAATGGAATAGTAAATTTCAACTGACAAAATTGCCACCTTAACTTCCTCAAAACTATAGCTTTGAGGTTGATTGCTCCTGTTCTTATGTTTTGTTTTTTTTCAATATTGAGTTAGTATATATTGACAAATCTAAAGTACCAGGCTCAATTGAAGCCAGAGCTAAACCCGAGAGAAACACTTTTTTAGGTCTCAAACCTTCGCCAACAGGTCAATCTTTGATCAACTCTTAGAGATTTAGAGATCAGGTGTAGCTTAATATTGATACTTCTTAATCAAATTATTCCAAATTTCAAGTACGGTTAATATATAAAACTCAACTCAGCCCAACAAAAGCCAGAAACTGATTATGATTCAAAATGCTTAATTGGTAAAGGTAGTGTGAATAGTAGTGTGTATGATTCAAACCTGTTGCCAACAACACCATGAAGACTTATAATTAACTTCTCTTCCTCAGGTGTAAATCTTCCTCTTCTAATATCAGGCCTCAAATAATTTATCCATCGCAATCGACAACTCTTACCACATCTTTGAAGCCCTGCAAAATCATAAATAAAACATGATAAAAAAAAATTTCATTTCCAAAATCTAAAGCAAGAATCAGAATAAGAGTAATAAGAGAGTGCAGTGCAGAGACCAGCTTTTTCTGGAACTTCACTCCAGCATCCATATCCATGAGTAGTAATGTATCTAATGAGTTTCTCATCTTCCTCAGGAGACCAAAGGCCTCTCTTAACCTTCTGTTGATTGCAGCATGAATGGTGACCCATCTTTCTTCTTCTTCTTCTTCTTCTTTTCCTGTCTCTTTTTCTTTACTAAATTGTACTTTGGATCATTCACCACCCTTTAAATATATATATATTTATTACCTTGATATCAAGAGTGTGCAAGTGCAATACAATAGTTACCTCTCTCTTTCTCTCTCTTTTAAAACTACTGAGGGAACTGAAACGGACATTTACAACCTGCATGTGGGACCTATATCTTCATCTAACCCTAAAGTGACGTTCTATCAACTTTATTCTAGCTATATAGTGTTACCATTTTCTACGTACATGTGTAGTAGTATTATATTACGTAACAAAATTGAGTTTTATTACCACAACAAGACCCTACAAAGTCACAGAATATACATAAAAAGTGGAGATGAAAAAAGAAAGAAAATAAAGACGGAGGAGTATTGTTGTTGGTTGTTTCCTGTCTGCAAACTATATATTCAACAACGTCATTATACATCATGAGTGGATATATTTACTAGTTACGTGTGAAAGAGATAGGAAACATTCATTTTTAATTTATCCATAAACTTAGTAAGTTACTGCATTTCATCTATCTTCTGCACTTTTTAAAAATAAAATAAAAGAATAGAAAATGTTTGGTATACTTAATTGGATGTATACACTTTGAATATGCGTTGGAAAATATAAGATATATAAGTATCACTGGAAAAAAAAAATTTATATTGAGTGTAATTTATTATGTGACTGGTAATGTTTTTTTTATAAGCAGAATCTATTAATAGGAGATTAAGGAAATCTCAAACTAAGAGACAAATTACAAAAAGTCAAAAGAAAATTTGAACCAATCATACAAACAACACTTCTTGCTCCCCTTCCTACTTAGGATCAACCAATTCCAAGAATAAAATTTAATGTCGAAAACAATATTGTCGACCTCAGTAACTACATTATTGAAAATACATTCACTTCTAGACCTCCAAATACTACAGCAAGTAATAAACCAAATCGAATATACTTTATTCGCTTGACACCGACCACTAAGGCTCGAGTTCCACACCTTCGCGTGAGAATAACAACAATTTTCAGAAATTATGTCTATATCCGCCCATTCGCAAATCTTGTTCCAAACCTGAGTTGATTTAATGCACGAGAAGAAGAGGTGGGATACGTCCTCGAGGCTACTAGAACAAAAAACGCAATCCAAGTCTTGCTCGGAATCAAACAACCTTCTTTTCAATAAATTAGATCTCGTAGGCAATTTATCAAGCGCCAATCTCCAACTGAGAGTTTGCACTTTCGCCGGAATAAGCACCTTTCAGAGAGACTCAAGATGGGATGCATAATCTGAACCAATATCTTGTTCAGATAAGGAGGAATACAGAACTGAATGAAAAGAACTAACCTTGAAAGACAAAGAATCATGAAGAAGCCACCGCCATTTGTCGGACTCGCCGGGGATAACTGAGACATTTTCCAGCAATTTACAGCAATCAGACCAGTCTGGTTCAGGAGGGATGTCTGAATCGATCACCGAATCTCTCAGTTTCCAATTCCACTGTCCTTCCTCCCGGTATCCCATATCACGGACGGACACTGTCTTCATAGAGCAACACTGAAACAAGCCGTTAAATCTGACTTTAAACGACAGGTCACCAATCCAAACTGACTGCCAGAACGCCACATCGTTACCTTCACCAACGAGACAGGCCGTGAAATTTCAGAAGTTGGCATGAGAATTTAGTGACGCATTGGTCATAATATCCTTCATCCACAGCGAATCTGATTTCTAACTAACAACGTCAGGGTAAGTTTGCGTCTTAATACTGAGGTTGCCGTATCTGTTAGTAAGGGTCTTCCTCCATATTTCATTGCCGCCAGTTTGGAACTTCTAAAACCATTTTTCCAACAAAGCACTGTTGAACCGACCCACATGCTTAATCCCCAGACCGCCATCTTCCTTAGATTTACAGACAGAATTCCAAGAAACCCAAGGGATAAAAGATTTGCTCGAGTTCCCAGCCCATAAGAACCGACGTTGGATCGCTATAATATCCTTCACGACTTTATGGGGAGCCTGGAAGAAATCCAGATAATGGATAGGCAGATTAGCAAGAACCGAATTAATCAGGGTGACTCTGCCCCCCATAGACAAGTTTCTCCCATTCCAGTTGGACAATTTATTCCTCAAACACATCAGAACCGGCTTCCAGAAAGAGTAACGACGATGGTTGCCTCCAACAATGATACCAAGGAAACTAAAAGGCAACTTTCCCGATTTACAATGAAGAAAGTATTCAGCAACCACAAGAAAATCAGGTTCTACATGAATCCCATACAAACAGCTTTTGGAGTAATTAGTTTTGAGACCTAAAGTTAACTTGAAATCCCGAAGAATAGCCTTGAAAGCCCAAACATTTGACGCCGAACCGTCTCCAATGAGCAGAGTATCATCAGCGAATTGGAGAATACTCATTGTTGGTTGACCGTCAATCTTGAATTGGGATAGCATATTACCGGCAACCGCTGATTTCACCAAGCTCGACAGTCCCTCTGCAGCTATAGCGAACAGGAACGGAGCAATGGGGTCGCCCTACTTCATCCCCCTACCAATCCTAAAGTCCTTTGAGGGACTACCATTGATTAGAATGGAAACAAAGCTATTGAAAACAGAGCCATGAATCAATTTCATCCACTTAGTTCCGAACCCCATCTTTACAAGCAGAGCATCAAGATAGAGCCAATCCATACAATCATAGGCTTTAGAAAAATCTACTTTGAAGAGAAAGCATTCCTTATTGAATCTCTTAGCAAAATTAGCCAACTTGTTAGCCAACAGAACACCGTCGTAAATCTGCCGCTTTTGAATGAAAGCGGTTTGAGAGGGAGAAATAATTTTATGAATAACCTTCCTAAGTCTGCACACGAGCATCTTTGATATAACCTTCAGAACACATCTGACATGGCTAATAGGCCTATAATCTTTGAAATGTTGGGGATTTTTAGACTTCGGGACAAGCGAGATGAAGGAAGAAGCGAAGGTCTTCGGAAGGTAACCAGTTTTGAAGAATTCCAAAATGCAATTCAAGAAATCCTTGCCCACTATCTCCTGACAGGACTTAAGGAATTTAAAGTTGAACCCATCGGCATCGGGGCACTTGTTACCATCACAGCTGAAAACAGCAGCTTTGACTTCTGCAGGGCAAAAATCAGCTTCCAGCCACAACCTGTCTTCCTCCTCGAAGCTAACAATATGATCGAAGTCAATTGTCAACTTGGGCGATGATTTTGTCTTGTATCTCTCCTTAAAGTACTTCAAAGCTTCGCATTTAATGGCTTCAGGGTCTTCCTCAATCCCATCTCCCACTCTGATTGCGGATAAACAGTTCGAACGATATCTAGATTTTAAGGAATCATGGAAAAACTTTGAATTCTGATCCCCATCTTGAAGCCAATTTAAACGGGATTTTTGAGCCAACATGCTTTCTTTTAACTTGAGTTTCTTCCACATCTCCTCCTGATTTCTCAATCTTTCCTTGTTAATGTTAAACTTGTTCTCAGGTGAATTCTTATCTACCCAACTCAATAAGTTGGGTAAGATTACCGTAAAATGTTTTGAAAAAAACAAGTAATTATACTATTTAATAAATAATTAAATGTGTTAGAATTAAATAATATCATGTGATTGGTTAAAGGTACATTATCCATTTTTTAATGATGGATAGAGAAATTGCCCTCTTCTCCTATTTATAACTCGGTAATGGCAACTTGTGCCTTTAGGGAGCACAAGTTAAAAAAATAAATATAGTTAAAAATTCTTGAAAATTGTTGGATGAATTTAGTATAAATTTATAAATTAATATTTTTTTTTAATACGAATTTTTCATTTATAAGTTTTTTAACATGTCTCTTGAGGACACAAGTTAGTATTATTCATTATAATTTTATTTCAAATTTTATCTTTTATTTCATATTATTGTGAAATTGAAAAAGGTTCAAATATATTTTTTTGAATGTTTGATACTTGTGCTTCTATCAATCACTTTTTTTTACCTTTGCCTTTTAATGCTTTTTTTAATCTATTTCAATGCTAAAATAATAGAGTATAAACGACTTCTTTATCAATAAGAAAACAACGAAGTGAGAAAGAGAGAAGTGAAAAAGAAAAGAAAATTTAAAATGGTATAAAATCTTGAATTTTTGATTTAGTTATAAATTAAAGAACAATGTTTATAATTGAATTTCAACCACACCTCTTTCTCTCCTAATCGCAGTTATATAAAAGTGATGATTAATATGTTATTTATAAGAAAACTAAACCCCTAACTTGTGAGTGCTAAGTATGGCTAACTAAAAATTCAACCGAGTTTTGAATGATGTCGAACAAGGAACAAGGTAGTATAGTACATCGTAGCTTTTTTGTATATTGGGCAATATCAACCTATATTTAGATGATCATTTGTCCCCTTAGCCTTATGAGGCATAAAACGAGTCTCTAAACAAGTTTTATTGGTCTTAGGCATGTCATACACACCAAAAATTATGTTTGTGTGTCAAAACAACAACATAGGCCGACCTATACGTGATCAGATCAACCTATGGAAGCATCAGTTTCAGTATAGACCGACACATCCATGTTTCAGGCCGGCTCCCACGCTCAAAGAACAAAACCTGTAGATTCTGCCCACATGTCGCATTTCAGGTCGCCTCACAGGCTGGCCTAAACACCTTCATAGGTTAATCTATGCAATTTGAAACTTGAAAAAAAATTGCATCTTACTTTTCTTGCATCCTTTATTCCATTTTTTTCACACACTTATATATACTCATACATGCATCTTCTTCTAGGCAAGGTTTCCTAGTGAATAAAAGCTAAACGAAATCAAATTACAAAGTTGTCCATCATCTTCATCTCTTCTTCTATGAATACACACAATTGAACTACACATAATCATTTTTTGATTGGGTGACCATCTAGATATGGTTGATAACATCCAATTAGGTTTTGTGTAACCGAGAGCATTGGTTGGGAA